GTGTTGCGTTATTTTGAGGGGACAGCTCATTTACACTGTTATACAAGCTGTATACTCACTGCTTTACATTGTAGTCAAGTGTCATTTCTTCAGTGTTGTCACATGAAAAATTATATAAAATATTTATGAAATGTAAGGCGGTGTACTCACTTCTGTGATATACTGTAAATCCTGGCTTATCTTGTCTTTGGGTGTGAGGCTGAGGAATGATACCATTATGTTCCTCACCCATGAAAAAGTAAAGTATTTTGTGGCCCTCCCAACAGAAGAGACTGAAAAGGAGAACAGTTTTTCACACAAATTAATTAGAATTGCCTAGCAGCAGAATAAAACCAATGCTGTTGTAATGCAAATTATACAAAATGACAGGGGCTGCAACATTGTTGCATAGACTTTGAAGGATTAGATACATTGGAAAGATCGTTCAAGTTTTTTAAAAACAATCAACTACCCCTTTTGTACATGGTTCTTATGTCTGCACAGGTTCTCTAACTTTTGCACAGAGACAGTTTGTGTAAATTGCAGACATTCTGGTGAGGAAATAAAATAGCATTTATTGTCATGTTCTTGCCTATAGATGAGAAGTCTTGTGAGGTTTGAAAATTCCATGTCAACGTGTATTGTCGAGTTAAGACAGACAAAATCAACAGGAACAACAAATTTAATTACTATTCTTTGCTTCTTAGTTCAGATGTGTCTTTCCAATGTAGGAACATGGCCAGCAGTATTAAGACCTTTAGAAGTTCTGCAGTCTCCTTCAAACGATTGTTAATATCATAAAGGCCAGGCATTTCAGGAGTTACAACACTGGGCAAGAACTTGGGAAGCGCAGGTTCAAATCCCCTCTTGACTGTAACCTCACTGTGTGGCCAGTTACACACTCTGAGGGTTAATGTGAGGATAAAATAGAGAAGAGGAGATTTATGTACAGTCCTCGTCGTCTAGTCATGTCCAACTCTTCATGACCCCATGGACCAGAGCATGCCAGGCCCTCCTGTCTTCCACTCCCTCCTGGAGTTGTGTCAAATTCATGTTGGTTGCTTCAATGACACTGTCCAACCATCTCATCCTCTGTCATCCCCTTCTCCTCTTGCCTTGACACTTTCCCAACATCAGGGTCTTTTCCAAGGAGTCTTCTCTTCTCATGAGATGGCCAAAGTATTGGAGCCTCAGCTTCAGGATCTGTCCTTCCAGTGAGCACTCAGGGTTGATTTCCTTTAG